ATTAAATCTAGTGTTCATTATTCAAAATGTAGTGTAATTTGTTGTCTGCTATTATTATAAAAAAATACTTTTAGATTCCATTAAATATTCCATGTTGAATTTAGATATGAGCTAAATTATAATTTAGAACGTTTCCGTTATTGATTATTAATATAATATAAATTGAATGGAATTTTTATCGATATTATAGGTAAATGATTCTATTTCCATAGAGTATTGTAATAACTACTTTACCATGTAACTGTTAATATTTCATAAAATAAATAAAAATAAAAGAAAACAAGATTTTGTTCCATTAAAAAAAAATCTACTGTAATTGTAGCATAACAAGCTATTTTGATATAGAAAACTAAACTTCTGAACCGCTTTTGATTAAATTTCTATAGTAACAATCTGAAAAGTATATACTTGCAGATAAAAATATGATTTTTCAAATCGGTTTATGCAGTTCTGGTGTATCAAACAAAATTACAACCCAATTTAAATCTCCTTTTTTGAGGTCGGTTAAAATTAAATGTAAATGAGAGGAAAAAACTGTCTGGAAGATCCCAGGAACAGGGTTTCAAATATTGAGAAGGGATCCGGAAGTTTTGATTGCTTAATCAACAGCCTATAAAGCAAACTCGATTGCCAATTATCAAACATAATGGCATTATGTACCATGATTGCTTCCTGATTAATCGCATTTTTTGTTCAACAGCATCACTAGCGATCGATATGTAGATAGAATTATCTAAGTATCTATTAAGACGATACATACTTAGTAATTGTAAATAATATTTTTTTATATAAATATCGAAAAGAATCGATCTTAAGTAATATAAAACACGTAAGTAATTATAACTTATAATTATAACTTTTCGCCTATCACAAATTGTTTGCATGATACCTAATCGGACTGATATGGCTTCTAATCCTTTGTTGTAGTGAAGAATGCGGCTGTCACGGATACAACTGAGTACGTTATATGATTCTATGGTATAGATACATAGGGATAATTATTAGAAATCATCATATCAGCTTTTAACTGTTCACTGGTGAATATAAGCCTCCCCCTTAGGGGGTTTTAACAGTAGTTGCCACGCTTGGTTGGCGGACTGGCAACCGCAGTATTATTATTAAAAAAAAAAATAATATAAATTAGTAAGGAGGGAAAAATATTATTTTATTGACAATCCGTAGATCAGGCTGTATAACTTAATTCCTTTGCCTTTTTTACCACTGAGGTGGCAAACAATTATACCGCTCACCTAATAATAAGCAGTTACCATAGCCTGTAGCATCTGTAAATAAATATTGTACATATTCAACTCATACCCACTTGTCAAAATCATCACTGCCTTTTCCATCAAGTATGTTAATTAAATTGTACATAGATATAATATTTCATCTCTTTCTTTCGGAGTGGTCGCTTAGACATGACAGCGATGTTTACTTCTTATTTTATTTATTTATTTATTTATTTATTTAATACTTTATTGTACACACCAATTATACATAGAAATATGACAGAGGTAATCAAATGTACAAAGGCGAGCTTGACTCTAAAAGAGTGCTCTTTCAGCAAACTCAAAGTGGAAAGGAGCATCAATGTCAGCGGGTAGAGCGGTATACAATATTGTAAAAATTTACAAACAAAGGAACTTACATCCATTTTTTACTGTCATTCTCCCTATCTCGATCGCTCGCTTCTTGAACTTCTAATTTCCGTTTTTGTATATTATTTCTTGCATATTTCCTTTGTCAATACTTTCTGCATATAATATATGTAAATAGATAAAGCTAATTGTTGTACTTATTTCCCCCGACAACTACAAGCCTATGAATGCCTGTAATACTAGGTGCATTACGCGCGCGTTATCAACCCTCTTTACTCCTTTTTTGAAGAATCTCATGCTGCCTTTCCCATAAATTGAAGCTACTATTTTTATTGACACACAGATTAATACAATAATATATTAAGTGTTGGTAAACCAGAGGGAGACTTTGTACAAAAGTCGATTGCTTGGATACCTTTGTCCCATTCGTGTTTCTACCGTGAAGCAGTTGTGTTTGCATGGCTGTGTTTCGGTTTGAAGGGTGGGATATGGCGTGAATTTACAGGTTACAGAGGAATAACATCTGAGTCCTCAGGAATGGCAACGCATTGGGGGTATCATGGGCGAAACAGCATACTCTGTTATGTCCATGGTACTGCTCATGTCTATAGGCGACGGTTACCATTTTCCATCAGGTGGGCTGTCAGCTTGTTTTCCATTCTAAGTTGTATAAAAAAAATGTCTATGATAATATTTATAAATCTTATTAAACCTAATGATATTATTGCGGTGGAGGGAAGGGTTTTTAGTAATGGATTCTAGCTGCCCCATTGTTAGCAATATACCTTCTCTGACATCCACGCAGTTCCCCCTGAAAATCATCGTGGTTAATTCTTAGCAAATTCTTCATGATGAGCCGACTCATCTGCATTCATTCTCACCTATCATCTATAACCCAGCCTACGCTATCGGTCGGCTGGGTTACCATTCCATTATCATACATTAAAAAAATATTGCATTTATTTGAATTATTCTATTATTATTATATAATATTAATCAATAAGCATAACAGAGGCGTCAGAATATACGAGAAATAATAGCTCGGTTGAGCGAGTAATAACTCAATTACTGGAACTTTATCAACTAAATCGACAAGCGTTTGGAACATAGGCTGCTGAATAAAGCGTTTGTTAGACGGTATTAACTGTATTAAAATATTTCATTGTCTGTAAAGTAATAAATATTGTATTTATCGTTAAGACGATAATAAAATTTCTATATTTTAACAGTCTTCGATTTTTAAACAACTGTTCAATAGGGACGTTCAAATATTTTGTTACGCTATTTTTTAAGATCTTTGACCCCATATAATGGACCGCAATATTTTGTCCCCCCCCCCACCTCTCCCTCAAACCTTACGTAAAACCTAAGTGACCATTTTTACGTAAAAGACACAACACTAACAAATACTGACAACGAAAACAAATTAAGAATGACGTACAATAAGGTCGAGGGTTTCCTAGTAAAACAAACGAGAAGGGTTACCAACTTGCGAGATTTTGATCCCCTAAAGTTTTATTTAAATAAAAAAAAACAATGTTACGTATCGCGTTGTCCAAAACAGCCTCCTCTTGCCCCTGTAACGCATCGTAACGTTTTACAAGACTAAAATTAGATTACATAAGACTTGAACGCCCCTAATAAAAAAATAGCTTTAATTTAACACGACTCATTATTATAGATTTAACATCTGAGTAAAGTGGTAGTACGTTAGTATTATTACTTATACTGTGGTAAAAATAAGCAGCTTTTTTAATCTATAAAAAACGGCTTCTTCCAACCAACACGAGAACAGGATTGCATAAAGAAAATATCAAATATTAACGATTAAAAATATACAAATGAATTTAGGTGTCTTAAGGTAATCACATACTATAAGTAAATATAACATTCAATAAATTATGTTTAGTGTACAAATCATTAACTTGTATGGATACTTCCCTTTTTCTAGGAGAAAAGGGATCGTTAGTAATTTGATATACCAGCCCCATTACTTATTATTAATTAATATACCCTACCAGGTTGACTTTTATGCGGTTCACCCTAGTAATCATCGTGTTTACTTTATATGGAATTCGACAAGATGGGCTAACTGCTTTTATACTCACCTAATCATTTCTCACTAATACTCCTTCAGCGTATACCGATAGCGCAGGCGGGCTAGCCATTTCATTATCACTCATTGAAAATAAAACCTTTTTTATATTAATTTTATATTTCTTTATTTTTATGCATCGAATTTTTTTTTTTTGGCGCGCAATTGGACAGTTATTAATTACTCTGTAGATATTCATATGTCTGCGTTTCTTTTACAAGAAAATAATAATAATAATAATGAATTCAACGAATAGGTACATAATTACGAGTACTGCGAATACATTTTCATATTTTTTCATTTGATAATTTGCCTTTCCTTGTAGCTGGTTAATAATGAATTTCATACAAAATTGCCTCCCGCTGTTTGCTCTCCTGTTTTGGCGGATGAAAGTGTTCACTTTCCAAGAAGGTATGGTATAAAAATACACAAGTATATGCGTAGAACTTAGGTTATATGGATAGAGCGTCTCCATAGAAATGCTTTGAGAAAAAAGGGTCAACATTTTCATACAATTTAACGTGATAAATAGTTATAAGTGATTCCTTTATAACTTCAATATTTATTTTATTTTATAATTTCCGTATTTTTAATGCGTAAACACTAATTTTATTTATTAAATAATACGTCAAGGTACATTTTATGCGTAAGTGTATAAAGCACTGATAAAAAAAAACGAGTTAGCAAATTTGACAATTAGCTGACATGAAATTGACCCGTTTCTGGGGTTCGATTCCCTATCTATATAATCTAAGGCGTAGAAGTATGTAGATAATATATAATTTAGATAAATAAATATATACGTACGAAACTTAATGAGGCGTACAGATGACCACTGTCGGCTTACATCGTTAACTACTGTAATACGACTAGTTACAGCTAATTAAGAACCAATGGCCTATGAAATGGGGGTCATCGACCAAATCCAATAGATCTTGAAGTACTTATATATATCCTTACTAATGTTATAAACGTGAAAGTGTGTTTGTTTGTACGTTAACCTATAACTTTTTTTTTATGTTTTATGGCTACTTAATGTTCAAGTTACATGTACATGTTCAAGTAGCGGGTAAAAAGTAGTGCAAGCGTAAATACATTATAAGTCATCTCGTTTCATCTCAAGCATGCGGTAGCGACAACATATCTATACATAGATTCGTTGGCTATTTCTATTTTCAAATTATTAATTAATGCGTGTATATAAGTTACAATAGCGTAAACGTATCTATAATTTTTTCGTTTACCATTACTCTAGTTAGAGCTGTAGTGACGGTAGGTCTCTAAGTTAGATTGTAATCTGAACTCACCTTCAAAGTCCTGCTCAGTATAGTCATGATGTGTGTGTTTCCTTGCTGCCGGATCTGTTGGCGCTTCGTCATCATCAGCTCTCGTCTCCATGTTCCACGGTCTATAATAGAAAAAGAAATACGATTAAATTATAACATTTTGTGTTCTTATTTCTATAGCTGTTACTGCTCACATATTATATGAAGTACGTGGACGGAATTTCTATGTTATTTCATTATGATTTACAAGCAGGGACGGCCTTACTGTGTTTAGCGCCCTAAGGCATGATTTTTATAGCACCTTACGATTTCTAGCGCGCCTCTTGGATCTCGGTGCCCTGAGCACGATCCGACCGTCTTCCTCTTCTAAGTCCGGTGTTAATGCAAGTACATAATTGTCGTGGTATATCCATACCGACCTCTAAACTGAATTCTAAATATGAAGATCATTTCGGGGAAGCTTTCATCTGAAGGATAAGTTAATGTAATCTCTGACACATGTGGCATTCGTTTGACTCTACAATAGAAACAATTTACTTATATATACCACAAAGGTGGCAAACATGCATATAGCCCATTTGATAATAAACTGTCACTGTAACCTATGGACCAGGGGTATGTATTGATTAAATATTACTTTATATTTTCTCAATTCAATAATGCAGGCTTTTTTTTTAAATGTTCGTTTACGTTAAGCTCTGAAGTCAACCGATGTCAATGAAATTATGCAAATACGTGTTGTTCAGATACGTCTTGAGACAGAATGATTTTGACTACAACTGACTATTTTTTTTTTCAGAACTAGTAAAACCAATGACATATACCACTTCTAAATGGCGTATTAAGTACACCAGTTTTGAAGTTAGATCTTCAATTATAACTGTAAAAACCGTATTCAACTTGGTGCAATAGTTTTTATATGTTGTCGAAAGAAAAATACATAAAAACAGACAGATAAAATTTCTAAATAATATTGTTTTAACTTTTATTGTTGCTATTAACACACTTCATATAATTTTTTTAATATCTTCTATGTACAGACATTATCTAATTACAATTTTATTAAATTAGTAAAATAATAAAAATATAACTCGGTAGCGAGTAAAACAATTGCCCAGTCGGCTAGTAGCTATGTTATGTATAATAATAATAACAATTAATGGGGCAAACAGTCAATGAAAAAATAAATAAATAAATATATCATATTTATTTATTTCATTTAAATAACTTTATTTATTAAAGGAAAATATGGTGCAAAATGCGCATTTAATGCTAGTAACATTCTCTACCAGTAAACCTTTGGGATGAACAGTGAATCACGGTACTACATTATTAGGATATGTAAAGAAAATAACAACTAATAATGTATATGTATACAAAATAAATAATATATATCTACATAAATAACATAAAATGATGATTATAATATACATACATAAATATAAAAGAAATATATATGGATAAATATATAAAATGTAAATAAAATATAAAAAGTGATGACTAGCTACAATTTTTTTTATACCACTGACGTGGCAAACAAGCATACGGCCCACGTGATGGTAAGCGGCTACAAATATTGTAATAAGTTCATGAATTGAGCATGGATTTTTCTTTTGAACATAATTCCATTTACCCGACTATAAAATAATAAAGAGTAATAATAATAAGAATAAAGAGTTTAATGAATGTGAATAAATTAATTTCGAGATCTACAATAATTTACACCTGATTTAGAGGCTGTGTTGATCGGATTTAAATTTAATATTCTCGAAGTACTCATTAAAGTTTGTTAATTAGTTTTGTTACAAAGTAATTTGAGTTTACACGAGTAAAAGTAGGTGCTATCATTAAATCGGTATATTTGGGCACCCCCCTTTGATCCGCGGCAGCCATCGGATTCATCCAACATTGGATATCGGCGTCCCCTGGGACCGCCAGAACATCCCCCCTGAAGTCGGCTACTGACTACCGTAATAGTAACACATAGATACACTACTAATAAATTAAACATGCAGATTTAATATTTGTTTTGCTATTGATAGTGTTTGCTCCCATTTTGATCCTAATTTGGTTCGGCACGATTGAAATTGCCGTTTATTTTTGCGAGGTAATATCGTTAAATTATACGTGTACGAGTATTAACTGTATTTGAAGCATAAATAAATTATAATTAGGGAAGTTTGCAATTCAACAAAACGTAATCTGTGTACTTAATCACTTCAAAAGTAGTATCGAGCATCAATCAGGAATCGAGCGTAATTAATTTAATTGAATCCACACAGAACGGATTTGTAATTTGGTTGTGTCTACAATTTATTTTGGTACTTACCGTTTTACAGGATTAATTAAGACTTTCAGAAGGAAGAGACTCTCGATTCTTTTGTATTTTTTTTTGTCATAGCTACGTATATATTACATGATCACCAATTCTTAATTCAGATTTTGTTAGTAGTTTTAGCTGTTGATAAGATTTTTTGTGATACTTAAAAATACAAACAAACCGACGGCCCACTTGATGAAAAGTGATAACCGTCGCCTACAGACATGAAATGCACTATGAATACATAATATACTGTGATACACATGGTACTCCTCATGCGTTACCGTTTCTGAGGACGGTGGAGTTATGCATCAGGAGGTACATAAGCTTGTAATTTCTTATGCAAGTACAGTCTTGTTGCGAATTTAAACTTTATTTACTTATATTACTTAGATACGATTCGGTGTTGAAGCAAATGTTTACGAAATATTTATTTATTGATTCCTTAGTACTTGTATGTGTACAAGGCAAACCTAATGCTAAAATCACTCTCTCTCAGTCAGCCTTAAGGAAGTATCACAATATTTGAATGAAATATCAGGATTATCGTCGTCGATCTGCTTTATCCCAATTGAAAATTATAGTTTTTTTTTTTGGTGAGTGAAATGTAATTGTCGTGACCTGCTGCTTAATATACTATGCTTAATATGACATAACAGAGTACACTGTTTCGTCCATGATCCTCGCCATAGTCAAATTTCGATCCCGCCCATTTTGGAAATAAACTTTGCTAAAGAGTTTGGAGAGTTTAGGTTAAGTTTTTTATGCAACTTACAGTAGCAAACAAGCTAACAGCCTACCTGATGGAAAGTGGTAATCCTCGCTTATAGACATGAGCAGTACCATGGACATAACAAAGTACACTGTTTCATCCATGATACTCGCCATGCGTTGCCATTTCTGAGGCTTAAGATGTTTTTTCTCTGTACCCTTTAAATTCACTGCCATATCTTATCCTTCAAACTGAAACACAACTATATAAACACAACTGCTTCACGGTAGCAACACGAATAGGAGAGGATACTCAAGCAAACGACTTTTGTACAAAGTCTACCACTAGTAACTTGTAATGTTCTTTTATATAATAATATCATCATAATGATGCTGTTTTTTATGTATTTATTTTTTGCAGGTAGTTAATAATAATTTTCGTTGAGGGAAAATAATAAAGAGCTTTGGTTCATTCACTTTCACTGCGTCAGCTAATCCTTGCCACCGTGCACACGATCAAAAAGCTATATCACTGGAAACTGCTTTATTAAAGCAAAAACAGTCCCCTTAATAAAGTTAATAGCGGTATTTAAGCTCCAGTAAATTCTGAACTGAACATAATGAAAGGTGCCTCTATACCGATATTAAGGGGGAGTATTGTAGAACAGTTCCGAGCGTTAAAGGCAACATAGCCGAGTTTAATTACACTTCAAAACCATTGAATAGGATTTATAAGGATAAGCACCTTATAAGGTGGGTACGTATGAGGAGTGAAATTTTTTGATTTGGGTATAATTACAATTATTCGCATTGTGACGGTCTCCAGTCTTTTCGTTAGTCACATTCTTATATCGAGATCTAGGGATTGTTACTCTCAATGATGAATTTGGGGTCCCTGCTTGATGCAAGGCCCTGTACCCAAAGACCTGAGCCCTCCTAGGAGGGCTAAGAAGACCACACAGCACACAAAGCATGCAATGTAATAGTTTAAATCAGTTAAGATTCTATTCAAATACGAGTATAATAAAAAATAAAATAAAAAACGTAATACGAATACTCGTTACATATTAATATCAGTACATTTATAATAATTTAGGGCAACACAATCTCGCCATATCAGAGGATCTGATATGACACCTATAAGGACAAATTAGCGGTGAGGCCTTTGTAAGCCCCTAAGGAAAACTGACACGACTCACGAATCCCGCAACGAATTTAATCGCAAAGAAGAACAAAATAGAAAGAGTATGAAGGAATAATGATATTAGACATCTTTCAAAATAAACCGTAAACATATTTTTTATACAAATTAATCTTATTTTACTTATTAAACTATATTTACTAACAATCCCTCTTACTACAGACAGGGTTGCCATATTCGATTTTTATTGTTATCTAAATGTTATTTTATTTTTTCTACAGATTAATACGATTTACCTCACTTTTATCATTTCCACTATATTATATCAGGAAACTATTACGCCAACGAGGGCGAAAGGACTGTTAGCTGGTGTGGAAACACGGTGTCTTAAGGAATATATTATAATTATAAAAATATACATACAAAGTAAAAAGAAAGAAAAAGCGAACACACAAAATATGACAATTAGTCAAAACCTTATATATAAAATAAAGAAACCAAAAAGGTACATTGTGCATATGTTATTTATTTATTACATAGTTATGACATGGTTATACATAGTAAAGATATAAATACACTTGTTTACAGTTATGGCAATCCTGTTTTTTGACAGATGATTTGTCCGCGCAAAATGTTGCTAATATGTACTGGGAACCAGAAAATATTGTTGTAACCAATTGGATTAGTGTCTGTACTGTTCGTATCTCCTGAATGTGTGGTGTGATACCAAAATATTAATTGTGTTTGTATACCATAATACCGCTGTTTGATTGCACGTCATCCTCATCACGCGGGCTTTGCCCGCATGCCAATTGTAAGTGTACGTTATGGATACTTTCCAATATACGATCTGCGCCTTGTTATGGTAAGGATATCTTTATAACATAACAATTAAAAACCGTTCTAAATATGTATTACAGTTATACTACCTGCGTTTATGTGATATTTCT